GTTCTAAATTAATTGTTTGAATCTTCCGTTCAATGTTCCACTATTCTTATTGTTCTTTACGGGGCACCAATCAGAATTGAATAATTTCCAAAATCACGTTAAAAAATATATGAATATATTACATTTCATGGAAAAAATGCATTAGTCATACATGATAATAGTCACCATCCGTGAAGACGTTTTGTGCATATTGAGGTAAAAATAATTAATCACAATCGTCTTTCCCTTCAGAGGTCACGTTGGATCCAGTTGTCTAAGTCGCTGCAATTCGCTGTGTAGAGCTGCGTCCCCTAGGCACGCCAGAAGTCTATGATTGTGGTTCGAATCCCGGTTCGACCCGATAATGTTTCAAGGTTTGTCAGCACCATACCGGTGCTTGTGGGTTTCACCGAAGTGGTAAACATCTGAGACCTGCATCACTTCGGGCTTTCCTCCCACATTAAACTGACACGCCGTGATATAACTGGAAAACTGTTCAAAGCGGGTTAAACCCAACTCACTCACTACTTTTGTACACAATTGTTACAACATCAATTGCAAGGGTATCACAAAATCTTTTCACAATTCCAACCAACATAACATCTCTATCCTGATATTGTCGCTAACAACTCACATGCAGTTCCTGGCCGCCAGGTCTCTATGCACCAGTCTGAGAGTGGACAGGTAGTTCATGCCCTCGGCAATATCCACACCCCATCTCAGGATGTCGTACACCCGCACCTCCTGAAAGACATTTGTCAAAGGTGAAGTTTGCATGAAATGTCTGATCTATTCAGTATTGAACACCTGTGGCTACTGAAAGTTACAAGCTAAAAATCTGAATGCCAATTATTTTGGTTGGCTTAAAATGAACACGGTATTGTTACCTATTGTGCAACCTATATATATATAACCATGTGTTTGCTACCTTAGAAACATCAGAGACGAAGGACCGGAGATCCCCATTGGCCATGAAGGGCAGGACCACCATTGGCTGTTGACGCTCGCTCACCGAGATACCCAACAGTTGGAGGACATTCTCGTGGTCAAACTCCTTCATGACCAGCGCCTCCTCCACAAAGCTACAGAGATCCATGTTCTGGCTGTTATCTGGAACACAGATGTAACTTTTGCACAACACTTCGTTTCAAGTCTTTGAATGTCATTTAGTAGTGATACAACACATAAGAGATGGAATTTATAGATGGCAAGTTCTTTGCAATGAGGAACACAACGTTTCGGAGTATATCACCCGATAAAGGAGGGAGCATATACTCCGAAACGTTGTGTTCCTCATAATAAAGAAGTTGACGTCCAGCAAACAAGACATGTTTTTTTTCCGTAAAAAAAAAGGACAGATTATTTTTGTTGACTTGTTTCTTACAGAGTTGCGTACCATGGGCACGCCAGACACCTATGACTGTGGGTTCGAATCCCGTTTCGCCCCTATTATGTGTCTTGGCTTGTCAGCACCATACCCGCGCTCATGGATTACACCAAAGCGATAACCGTCTAAGACCTGCAACACTTTGGGCTTTCCTCCCACATTAAGCTGACATGATATAACTGGAGGCTGTTCAAAGCCACGTTACACCCAACTCACTCATTCATCGGTCACAAAACAGTGTACCTATCAGATCTGCTCAACTATCTACTAAAGCCCATACTTCCACAATTGTTACTGAACCACATTACAAATGACCCCCACACTTATATCTGTCCTCCAGCCAGGTGCCCTTACATATGTATACAATTGCACTGGTGTCAACGTCCACTTATTCACCAATAATTATTGGTTCATGATAGGGAAACACTACAAATACCACCTGTCCACAACTCCCCCAGATTTTCACAACGTATCCTTGTCAGTGCTAACAGGGTTGGTTGATCAATTATCAACATGGCGGCTACCGTGACTTTAACACCATACCCTTTGAAAGAGAACAGCTACTCCAGTTTTGTGGATATAATTATGTCAGTGACTTGGATATGGATTTATTTTCGGAATACACACAGGAAGCAAGGACAGACTTGAGCCGTAAACGAGGTAAGAGAAGCGAACAGAGGCGAACAGAGGTGAACAGAGGCGAACAGAGGCGAACAATTACAATACGTAACAACCAGACCTCAATCACCTATACGGTCATACTTGTGGCACAGATACCTGAACTGTGAGTCATACGGGTGACACAGATACCGGAACTGCGAGTCATACTTGTGGCACAGATACCTGAACTGCGAGTCATACTTGTGGCACAGATACCTGAACTGCGAGTCATACTTGTGGCACAGATACCGGAACTGCGAGATATACTTGTGGCACTGATACCGGAACTGCGAGTCATACTTGTGGCACAGATACCGGATTTGCGAGTCATACGGTTGACACAGATACCGTAACTGCGAGACATACTTGTGGCACAGATACCGGATTTGCGAGTCATACGGTTGACACAGATACCTGAACTGTGAGTCATACGGGTGACACAGATACCGGAACTGCGAGTCGTACTTGTGGCACAGATACCGGAACTGACAGTCATACTTGTGGCACAGATACCGAAACTGCGAGTCATACTTGTGGCACAGATACCTGAACTGCGAGTCATACTTGTGGCACAGATACCGGAACTGCGAGATATACTTGTGGCACTGATACCGGAACTGCGAGTCATACTTGTGGCACAGATACCGGATTTGCGAGTCATACTTATGGCACAGATACCGGAACTGCGAGACATACCTGTGGCACAGATACCGGAACTGCGAGTCATACTTGTGGCACAGATACCGGAACTGTGAGTCATACGGGTGACATAGATACCGGAACAGCGAGTCATACTTGTGGCACAGATACCGAAACTGCGAGTCATACGGGTGACACAGATACCGGAACTGCGAGTCATACTTGTGGCACAGATACCGAAACTGCGAGTCATACGGGTGACATAGATACCGGAACTGCGAGTCATACTTGTGGCACAGATACCGGAACTGTGAGTCATACGGGTGACACAGATACCGGAACTGTGAGTCATACTTGTGGCATAGATACCGGAACTGCGAGTCATACTTGTGGCACAGATACCTGAACTGCGAGTCATACTTGTGGCACTGATACCGGAACTGCGAGATATACTTGTGGCACTGATACCGGAACTGCGAGTCATAATTGTGGCACAGATACCGGATTTGCGAGTCATACGGTTGACACAGATACCGGAACTGTGAGACATACTTGTGGCACAGATACCGGATTTGCGAGTCATACGGTTGACACAGAGACCGGAACTGCGAGTTGTACTTGTGGCACAGATACCGGAACTGACAGTCATACTTGTGGCACAGATACCGAAACTGCGAGTCATACGGGTGACACAGATACCTGAACTGCGAGTCATACTTGTGGCACTGATACCGGAACTGCGAGTCATACTTGTGGCACAGATACCGGAACTGCGAGTCATACTTGTGGCACTGATACCGGAACTGCGAGTCATACTTGTGGCACAGATACCGTAACTGCGAGTCATACTTGTGGCACTGATACCGGAACTGCGAGTCATACTTGTGGCACAGATACCGGATTTGCGAGTCATACTTATGGCACAGATACCGGAACAGCGAGTCATACTTGTGGCACACATACCGGAACTGTGAGTCATACGGGTGACATAGATACCGGAACAGCGAGTCATACTTGTGGCACTGATACCGGAACTGCGAGTCATACGGGTGACACAGATACCGGAACTGCGAGTCGTACTTGTGGCACAGATACCGGAACTGACAGTCATACTTGTGGCACAGATACCGGAACTGCGAGTCATACTTGTGGCACAGATACCTGAACTGCGAGTCATACTTGTGGCACAGATACCTGAACTGCGAGTCATACTTGTGGCACAGATACCGGAACAGCGAGTCATACTTGTGGCACAGATACCGGAACTGCGAGTCATACGGGTGACACAGATACCGGAACTGCGAGTCGTACTTGTGGCACAGATACCGGAACTGACAGTCATACTTGTGGCACAGATACCGGAACTGCGAGTCATACTTGTGGCACAGATACCTGAACTGCGAGTCATACTTGTGGCACAGATACCTGAACTGCGAGTCATACTTGTGGCACAGATACCGGAACTGCGAGACATACGGGTGGCAGAGATACCGGAACTGCAAGTCATCACTTATGGCACAGATACCGGAACTGCGAGTCATAAGGGTGACACAGATACCGGAACTGTGAGTCATACATGTGAAACACATACCGGAACTGCGAGTCATACAGGTGAAACACATACCGGAACTGTGAGTCATACATGTGAAACACATACCGAAACTGCGAGTTATACAGGTGAAACACCTGAACTGCGAGTCACACAGGTGAAACAACGGAACTGCGAGTCATACAGGTGAAACACATACCGGAACTGCAAGTCATACAGGTGAAATAACGGAACTGCGTGTCATACAGGTGAAACAACGGAACTGCAAGTCATACAGGTGAAACACATACCGGAACTGCGAGACATACGGGTGACATAGATACCGGAACAGCGAGTCATACGGGTGACATAGATACCGGAACAGCGAGTCATACGGGTGGCAGAGATACCGGAACTGCGAGTCATCACTTATGGCACAGATACCGAGTCATACAGGTGAAACACATACCGGAACTGCGAGTCATACAGGTGAAACACACACCGGAACTGCGAGTCATTCAGGTGAAACAACGCAACTGCGAGTCATACAGGTGAAACACATACCGGAACTGCAAATCATACAGGTGAAACACATACCGGAACTGCAAGTCATACAGGTGAAACAACGGAACTGCGAGTCATACAGGTGAAACACATACCGGAACTGCGAGTCATACAGGTGACTCAGATACCGGAATTATGTGTCATTCCGTGTGGCAGCAATTCAAAGAATTGTTTAATGAGGCAGGTAAATATGTTCCATTATAGTCGTAACATAGCGAATAGTTTACGGGAAACTAATCCTACCCTTCATTGTTTTGACAGCAACTTGCCGAGGGTGCCCATCTTCTCCCGTCTCTGGACACAGTATACCCGCGCACACACGGCCGAAGTTACCTGGAATGATAGACAAAGCCTATTGACAGGTCAAATGCGGCCCGAGTGACCTCACCAACACCAGCAATAGTGTAAAAAATGTTGCTGCCTATACTAGAGGATCGTTTAAGACAGACCAAAGATTAGATTTTTGCTATCAATGTTCAACAGTTCAAATATTTCAAATAACTGTTGTCAAAAGCTGTATGTGACATTTTTGGTCGTACCTGCGCCAATAGTGGTACCAATGCGCAGTCTCGCTGCTGGAATGATGACCCTGCTTTGTTCAAGACAATTCATCAGTTCTGGCGGCAGATGATGGTCTGACAGACGGCGTCAGATAAAGGTCATTCCCTCCTGTGGAAAGAACATACAGCCATCAAACAAACATGATGAATAATGATTGTAGGGAAAGAGTGAATGAGTGCATATAACGCCGCTTTGAACATTATTTATTTAAATCCAGACGTGTTAATAACTTGTACCAGTTAACATCAGTTCCAATTGCAGACGGGGATGCAGGGGTGATTTGTTGTGAAACGAAAAAGTCCATTTCTTGACGTTGGAAATAGTTTTGGAATTAATTTGAATGCACATATCATTTATAGCTTGACACACTCATTCACTCAAAAATCTCGATATTGTGAAAATAATAACTTACCATCTGCTGAAGTTGGCGTCAGCTCCGATTGCTGACGTGAATGCAGAGCTGATTTGTACTCCCTGACACAGACGGCGGTTACAGCGATAACGATGATGGCGATGACTGCGACTGTTGCCACGCTCCCGATGATAATGTTGTGGTAAGAAGGCGACCTCCGTGTTACAAACATGATCTGTCCAGCATACAGACTCAGGTTGTTGCCTATTTTAACCTTGTGTGTATGGAGTGAAAGAATGAAATACACACATGCACATATAATGATCATATTTCTCATATGAACAAATCAATATAAGTGTATTCTAAGTTACACCAAGGAGTTGAAGTCTTTCACGATTTCTGTAATGTCTCCCGACTGATGATCAATGTTAAACACGTGTTCGCGGCTGGTAGTAATTACTGCAATGTTCTAGAGGTGTAACGATACGGGAGGGTCGCGATACGATACGTATCATGATACAGGGGTCGCGATATGATACGTATCACGATACAGTGTTTACTGGTACAAGCTAAGCCAAGTTGATGTCTTTCTGCTATCTAAAAGATGTGACAAGTACAGTTGAAGAAGATACAAGGTGTTTATTTACTGTTATAGCAAATTGTCAGCAATACAGTATGTTTTACTGAAACAACAAACTGGCTTTGAAACTGTTAAACGTATTTCAAGGGCCCACACCACCCCCCCACTTTTCAAAAAAGCTGTATTCGCCCATGTATTTTATGTATTTTCTTGAGTATAGTGCGCACCAATGTATAATGCGCACGCCCCTCTAGCGGGTTCAATATTTTGGAAAAAAAGAAATTTGAATATTATGCGCAGAAAATTTTTACACCGTACCCCTTCAGCGAAGTCCGGCAAACGAACGGGTGATCAGAAACTTCGTCAGTACAAATTCGAAATTTGAGATAAAAAATCACCAGACATGTTGATTTACCGTTTAAACGGTATTTTTTGTTCAGCTAGGCATTGTTTTATATCCAGGGATTAAGATTACCTTGTGTATTTTCTCGTAAACTTAGCCGGACACAGCAATCAGCTGTACATGTACACACGTTTTCTTGGAATCTACCGGTGATTTGGTCAAGACACACCCAACTTTACAGTATTTTAATGCAAGGATCGGCAAAAGTTGTATCTGAAACTATTTTTTTTATCAGGAATAATATATTCCAATATTTTGTTTATTTAGATGCAGCTTTTACTAAACATATTTAAAATAATAATAACCCTAAGCGAAGCAGCTGATCGCTATTGCCGGGTATTATTTTTTACATGGAACCAGTCTGACCAGTCACCGTCAAGGCTCCCGTGCACGTGATCGCGTGATCGCGAGAATTACGTGTTGACATAGAATCGTCCAACAAAAACAAATCTGACTTTTAACGAATCAAAGTATGGCATTTATGATATATGTATCCATTCTCTGTCAACTAAAATTCCTTTCAAGGCGTCAATAGCGGTAATCTGACCGTGGTTGCTGTTAATAACGGTGACTTGTGCGATCTTCCGATCGCTTCACACACGATTTCGCCGAAATTAATTAAAACAATATTAAAAGGAATTTTGAATAAAATTAATGAAATAAGTTACAAACATGAGTCCAAATATACAAAGAACACTTTTTTTATAGCCAGACAGTGTAATTACATGAATAATTTGCGAACTTCAGTATGGATTTGTTGACATGGTATTTCCGGTGTTACGTGCTCACGGTAATGTCTTTCCATGGGGGAAAAACATCAAAACTCATTAATTCGAGTATAATGCGCAACCCCTTCTACACAGCTGTGCTTTTTGGAAAAAAAGTGCGCACTATACTCAAGAAAATACGGTAGGTAAAACTGTGTTATGAAAATATCGTATGTATCGCGATACATGCTTTCCAAATCGATGCATCGTATCGTGGGCTGTGCATCGGGATACAATACTGTATCGCCGTATCGTTACACCACTACAATGTTCATATACTGTACCGTGATATTCCGGGGCGTATTGGCATCAGTCATCAACACAGGCGTACAAGTGATCAACGTACGACTGAAATGAACATTGGAACAATTGCTCGGGCCGATTTCGACTCGAACATCTGTTTCATTGACGCCATCGAGGGTAGCCTAAACAGAAGACATCACACGACTATTACTGCTTCGTTGTATAACCTGGATAATGGCAAAATGCAGAAGGTTAATACTCATTAACACCTGTAAATTTATTTGTTTTGTTTTTTTCAACTTCGATCCAAGGATGGTCTGTGCAATAACAATATGATATATATTTAAGCGCGTGCTCTGCAAGACAATACACACTCAGGATACTGCTAAGCAATTGTTGGTTGAATGCTTGTCTGAGGTTTTTCTGATAATACAGGATCAAGACTACCTCAAAACTCTTTTTGGGGACAGTTCAGTTTAAATACAAACCAACGGGCGCATCGGTTCGCCAAGGAAGAATGTGCAAACATATAGACATTGTAATCATATATATCTAAGATCAGGTGAAGATGGATTCAATACAGGGGATTGTTGAAATGTTGTTGTTTTTTAAACGAGTGAGGTGTATATGCTACATAGCCAACTTGCAATGATATTTTATCTGATGTACATGCCTGCATACAGTTTATACCTGTATGTGTAACTGATGAATATACTATATACCCTACTACCTGGTATTTGTAACTGATGAATATACTACATACACTACTACATGGTATTTGTAACTGATCAATATACTACATACACTACTACCTGGTATTTGTAACTGATGAATATACTACATACACTACTACCTGGTATTTGTAACTGATGCATATACCGCATATCCCACGAGTAGGATACTGACACACATAAGAGTCTGTATATACACTATGATAGGTGAACTCATGAGGACTGACTGACATACATATGTATAAACACTGAGATAGATGAACAGATGATCACACACCGATATGCATACGTGTATATATACAGTGACAGATAAACACATGATCACACTGACAACCACTGACACACACACACATGTATATACAGTGATAGGTGAACACATGAGGACTGACTGACATACATATGTATAAACACTGAGATAGATGAACAGATGATCACACACCGATATGCATACGTGTATATATACAGTGACAGATAAACACATGATCACACTGACAACCACTGACACACACACACATGTATATACAGTGATAGATGAACACATTATCACACACTGACACACATGTATATACAGTGATAGATGAACACATGATCACACACTGACAACCACTGACACACACATGTATATACAGTGTTAGATGAACACATTATCACACACTGACAACCACTGACACACACATGTATATACAGTGATAGATAAACACATTTTCACACACTGACACACACATGTATATACAGTGATAGATGAACACATTATCACACACTGACAACCACTGACACACACACATGTATATAGAGTGATAGATGAACACATTATCACACACTGACAACCACTGACACACACATGTATATAGAGTGATAGATGAACACATTATCACACACTGACAACCACTGACACACACATGTATATAGAGTGATAGATGAACGCATTATGACACACTGACAACCACTGACACACACATGTATATACAGTGATAGATGAACGCATTATCACACACTGGCAACCACTGACACACACACATGTATATAGAGTGATAGATGAACGCATTATGACACACTGACAACCACTGACACACACATGTATATACAGTGATAGATGAACGCATTATCACACACTGACACACAGGTATATACAGTGATAGATGAACACATTATCACACACTGACAACCACTGACACACACATGTACAAACAGTGATAGATGAACACATTATCACACACTGACAACCACTGACACACACATGTATATACAGTCACAGATGAACACATTATCACATACTGACAACCACTGACACACACATGTATATACAGTGATAGATGAACGCATTATCACACACTGACAACCACTGACACACACACATGTATATAGAGTGATAGATGAACGCATTATCACACTGACAACCACTGACACACACATGTATATACAGTGATAGATGAACGCATTATCACAGACTGACACACACACACATGTATATACAGTCATAGATGAACACATTATCACACACTGACAACCACTGACACAGACATGTATATAGAGTGATAGATGAACGCATTATCACACACTGACAACCACTGACACACACATGTATATACAGTGATAGATGAACGCATTATCACACACTGACACACAGGTATATACAGTGATAGATGAACACATTATCACACACTGACAACCACTGACACAGACATGTATATAGAGTGATAGATGAACGCATTATCACACACTGACAACCACTGACACACACATGTATATAGAGTGATAGATGAACGCATTATCACACACTGACACACAGGTATATACAGTGATAGATGAACGCATTATCACACACTGACAACCACTGACACAGACATGTATATAGAGTGATAGATGAACGCATTATCACACACTGACAACCACTGACACACATGTATAAACAGTGATAGATGAACGCATTATCACACACTGACACACAGGTATATACAGTGATAGATGAACACATTATCACACACTGATAACCACTGACACACACATGTACAAACAGTGATAGATGAACACATTATCACACACTGACAACCACTGACACACACATGTATATACAGTCACAGATGAACACATTATCACACACTGACAACCACTGACACAGACATGTATATACAGTGATAGATGAACACATTATCACACACTGACACACAGGTATATACAGTGATAGATGAACGCATTATCACACACTGACAACCACTGACACACACACATGTACAAACAGTGATAGATGATCACATTATCACACACTGACAACCACTGGCACAAACAAATGTACATGCAGTGATAGATGAACACATTATCAAACACTGACAACTACTGACACACACATGTACATGCAGTGATAGATGAACACATTGTCACACACTGACAACCACTGACACACAAATGTACACGCAGTGATAGATGAACACATTTTCACACACTGACAACCACTGATACACACATGTACATGCAGTGATAGATGAACACATTATAAACACTGACAACCACTGACACACGCATGTACATGCAGTGATAGATGAACACATTATCACACACTGACATACATATTTGTATAACTAATGAACATACTGTATATGTTTAACTGATGTATATACTGCATATCCTACTTATCGATATGTTTGACTGGTGTATATACTGCACATCTTACTATCTTGTATGTGTAACAGGTGCATATGTTGCATAGCTTAATTTCTGGTACGTCTAACTGGTATATATGGTGTATATCGTACTTACTGGCATATCTAAAGGGTTTCTATGATGCATATCATACTTACCGGTATGAATAACTGTTATATAAGTTGCATATCTTTCTCTCTTGTGTGATGCGTGTCTTACTGGTATGCTTATCTGATGTATATGTCGTATACCATAGTACCTGACAAATTTCACCGATGTATATGCTGTTATAGCTTAATACTTGGTATGTGTAGCTTATGTATTCCCTGGATATCCTACTTATATGGTGTATATGCTACATATTATACTCACGAGTATATTTAGCTGTTGTAAATGCTGTTATATCTTAGTACTTGGCATGTGTAGCTTGTGTATTAACTGGATACCATACTTACTGGTACGTTTAACTGGTGTTTATGTTACATATTATACTCACGAGTATATATTTAGCTGTTGTACATGCTGTTATATCTTAGTACTTGGCATGTGTAGCTTGTGTATTTACTGGATACCATACTTACTGGTACGTTTAACTGGTGTTTATGTTACATATTATACTCACGAGTATATATTTAGCTGTTGTACATGCTGTTATATCTTAGTACTTGGCATGTGTAGCTTGTGTATTTACTGGATACCATACTTACTGGTACGTTTAACTGGTGTTTATGTTACATATTATACTCACGAGTATATATTTAGCTGTTGTACATGCTGCAGATCGTACTTACAGGTATGTTTAACATATCTCCTTCACTGACCACGACAGGCGTTCGTGAGTATACCAAGGTTGGATCTGGATAGACTGTAATGTTATAATGTTTTATCACTCCGTCCATTATAACAGAAAGGTTGCCAGTTGTCTTATTTCGATTTTCCGTTACGAACGGTGGCGTCACACAAAACACCTTCCCCTGTGTAGGTTTGTTAGTTCCGGTACAATTCTGAAACAAACATACTCAGATGTATATATCTATATACACAGTGACAGAGGAACGAACACATGATTACACTCTCATGCATATCTGTACACTCAGTGCTAGATGGACACATAGTTACACACTGACAAACATATCTGTACACGCAGTGGTAGATGAACACATGGTTACACACTGATTATTTTTATGTATATGCACTGTTATAGATGAACACATGGTTACACACTGACAAACATATGTTTATATACAGTGATAGGTGAACACATGGTTACACACTGACAAACATATATGTATATACACACAGTGGTAGATGGACACATGGTTACACACTGACAAACATATGTTTATACACTGTGATAGATGAACACATGGTTACACACTGACAAACATATGTTTATACACTGTGATAGATGAACACATGGTGAGTGTGACATGCTTATGTATATATACACAGTGATAGATGAACACATGGCTAGACAACAACGTACAAATGTATATACGCAGATGAAGGTGAATACATGGTAGCACACTGACATCCATGCGTATGTAGACAGTGACACAGATGGAAACACTGACATAATATGTATATACACTGTGAAAGATGAATACATGGTTACATTGACAAACATATGTATATCACATCAAACACACACACACACGCACACGCACACACACACACACACACACACACACACACACACACACACACACACACGTGCGCGCGTGCACTCACACACACACACACACAGGCGAGGCGTAATAACTTAATATGACACCGTGTACGGCAACTATATATATGAAGTGAAGGTGACACACAGACACACATGCTGGTATGTAATATACACAGTGTTACACACGGACAGCCTGGCACAATGATAGACAACATCCATCCTCTCTCCACGACCCTTGAAGATCCGGGGTAGAATAGGTCTTCAGCAACCAATGCTTGCCGTAAAACGCGACTATGCTTGTCGTAAGAGGCGACTAACAGGGTCGGGTGGTCAGGCTCGCTGACATGGTTGATGCATGTCATCGATCCCAATTGCGTGGATCGATGCTCATGATATCAATCACAGGATTGTCTGGTCCAGACTCGATTATTTACAGACCGCCGTCATATAGCTGGAATATTGCTGAGTGCAAACCAACCAATCTCTCCACACACAAACACACACTTGTAGAAAGTTGATTCACTCACCGCACCGTGTGTGCTGTGAAACACAGTTACTTCAATCCGCGGCTGTTCTACAGCGTCAAAGTTCTCCCCCACGACTGTGATCGTCAGACCTCCACTGCAAGTCATACATTAGTTATTAACCAATGAACTTGCTGCCACACTGACATAATGTATTACCTTCCACACAACAACCGACGAATGAGGTTACGGGACCCTGTCGTCCCACTAGAACTGTTAAAGATGCAGATAACCTGGAGATAACGGTATAAAAATTATCAGACATATTTAGATGGCTGACAACTAGCCAACAACTTTGATATGATAAGATCTATAAGTGATAAGTGAAATAGGGGATTTTATTAAATTTGAGCACGCATGGGACACAAGATCAATATGTACTATTTCGTTGCACTGATTCATCTACATTTCCTGAGCTAATCTATCTCTCTCTCATAACATAACATAACATTGCTGTTTCTCCAGGCCATAGTACATATCTGGGATTAGATGGAACGACGCCTACGTCTGGACCAGAACCGGCCGGGAACGCTAGCTCAGTAGGGCCAATCTTTGGTTGACATTTGGGAAAACATTCCCCTGGTTGTATTCAATCATCTGGTGTCTTCAATGCACCGCCGCTGCCTCGCCTGTATCAACGCAACTGGTGGCCACATCCTTTCAGGGAGTGCTTCTCTGTCACCAGTCACAAGTTATGGTCAAATTTACACCACTTCGTATCAAGCACAGTTCCGTCAGTATATATATCTGAATACACGAGTATCGATGCTGCTGATGTATCTTATACATCACCAACAACCGAGTTCCATGCCGTTGTTCTATTTCTACGCAGACTGTGTAATATACTGGGCGACTGTACATATGAAACTGATTAAATAACTACCAATTTTGCCAACGCTAATTAAAAAACTGGATGCATCCCTTTTCAACGTAACTACATATTACGGAATAATGAATTCTTAATTTCAAATATCAAGTACATTGTCTATCTAAATACTGTGGCGTCGTTAAACATGAAATATGTATAAACAGCGCATACCTCTGTATGGATGTTGTCGGGAATACATCTGTAATGACTGGGTCTGGCGTGATTGTAAAATTGCCAAGTGAGCAGTCAGGAAACTGAACCTTCATCTCATCTTTCTTGACATTTTGATTTTCTTGTCCTGGCTTCTTCCCCAGTGTGCACCGTCTCCTGGTCAAACTGCAATGATAACGCGGACACGAATAGCATAGTTTAGATGACTTAGTCATCGATGCTTCCGAACCCCACACTAACCCCACATGGCTTCAATCACAAGGGGGGCCCAGTTGTCTAAGGTGCCGCGATTCGCTGTGTAGAGTTGCGGCCCCTGGGCACGCCAGAAACCTATGTTTGTGTCCCGGTTCACCCCCGATTATGTTTCTAGGTTTGTCAGCACCATACCCGTGCTCGTGGGTTTCACCGAAGTGGTAAACGTTTGAGACCTGCATCACTTCGGGCTTTCCGCCCACATTACGCTGACACGCCGCGATATAACTGGAATACTGTTAAAAGCATCATTAAACCCAACTCACTCACTCACTCACTCAATCACAAGGAGTCAGTTCTAGGTTACAGAGAACGTCACTGACGTCATAATACAGTGTTGAAGGGAGTTGTTCCTGCAGTGTCATCTCAGGTGTATCAGTTCCATGGGGAGTTCAAAACAAACGGCAACGTAGTTCCTGGTGACAATAAGGTCCACATAATTAATTTTTACTGAGGCTGGCTTTCAGATACAGGATCGGTGCAAACTGTGCCAGATGAGACTGTTGATTGTGATAATTAATCGTTACTGATCTTGCACGCATCTCCATCTGAGTAATAATGTAGTCCACTGAAGCTGATTTACCTCGTGCCCTTCAGTTGACATTTTCTCCCAGCTACTGCTACTTGATTGTCTGTCTCATTGAATCCACATCCCTCAAACGTGATGACTGTTCCCCGAGGCCCTTTCTTTGGATACCAGTTCTGTAGTAAAACAAATATGTGTGGTACTAGCTGGCGTTTACATGTCCGTTGTTCAAGGCAGGTAGTGTTCCCCTATATGTGTTAGTGTCGTCACCCATTCATAGTTTAATGTATTCACTTTGTGCAGTGAATTGTGACGCTTGAGTTCTATTTAATCTCCGGCTCTGATAAAACAATGTGTAAATCTGAAGTGGGACTTGAATGTACACATGTAATAAGGGATTGTACGTTGTGTGTAATTGTTTATATGCGGTTTTACATTCCACGATGTTAATAATATATAAAACAAAGTGTAAATCTGAAGTGGGACTGGAATGTAGACATTTAATAAGGGATTGTATGTAGTGTGTAATTATTTATATGCGGTTTTACATGTCCACGATGTTAATAATATATAAAACAATGTGTAAATCTGAAGTGGGACTGGAATGTACACATGTAATAAGGGATTGTACGTTGTGTGTAATTGTTTATATGCGGTTTTACATTCCACGATGTTAATAATATATAAAACAAAGTGTAAATCTGAAGTGGGACTGGAATGTAGACATTTAATAAGGGATTGTATGTAGTGTGTAATTATTTATATGCGGTTTTACATGTCCACGATGTTAATAATATATAAAACAATGTGTATATCTGAAGTCGGACTGGGGTACATGTACCTTATCATTACAGAATTGTAACACTTATTGTGTAGTTATTAGTATGCGGATTAATATGTGTTCGATGTTAATACATGCAGGTCGTACTGAGCTCCATCTGAGTACCTGGACTTTACACGTGCTTCCTCCGCATGCCTCACTGAACACACACTTCTTGCACCAACTACAACGACTGATACGTCTACATTCCTGGCAGCGTCTGCCTTCACAGATGTCTACCTCCTTCACCTGGAAATATAGGGACACAATTATTTACAAATCCCTTCCGAGTCGAACAGTTTCAGGTTCCATTTAAAAAAAAATATCTTTTGAGAATGGTGAAACGCTGTTCTCACTATGAATTAACTCATTCCTATTGTCAGGGGATTTAATTCCTAAGATTTCACCAGCTTCATGTATTTGCCAATTTAGATCCTGTCATGAAGTACACGTGGATGGATGGTGTTACAGAGAAGCTAGACGCGACTATGTTTGCTTCAAACAGCACTATACTGCTTGGTTGTGGTATATCCAGCGGAAACGTCAGTAAAATCTAACATCACCCTCATTACAAAAGACGGATATTTACAGAGCCCTATGCGAATGCGAATTTCATATGCCGGGAACAGTTTAAGGACAGCAAATATGTGCCCTGAACAGTGTTACATTGATCAGCAAATATGTGCCCTGAACAGTTACATAGAACAGCAAATATGTGTCCTGAACAATCTTATATAGAACAGCAAATATATGCCCTGAACAGTGTTACATTGATCAGCAAATATGTGTCCTGAACAGTTACATAGAACAGCAAATAAAATCCCAGAACAGTTACATAGAACAGCAAATATGTGCCCTGAACAATTACATGGAACAGCAAAAATATGCCCTGAACAGTGTTACATAGAACAGCAAATATGTTTCCTGAAGAGTGTAACATAGAACAGCAAACATGTGCCTGACTAGTGTTCCATACAAGTTATAATGTGACATGAACACTCTTGTATACGACAGTAAAGATGTGCCCTGAAAAATACATATAACAGCAAACATGTGCCCTGAATACATAATAGCAAATATGTGCCCTGAACAATGTTACTCACATCGTCAAATATATGCGCTGAAAAATACATATAACAGCAAATATATGCCCTCAAAACTGTTTCTCACATCATCAAACATATGCCCTGAAAATGCATGTAACAGCAAATATATGCCCTAAACAGTGTTTCTCACATCATCAAATATATGCCCTGAAAAATACATATAACAACAAATACATGCCCTCCACAGTGTTTCTCACATCATGAAATATATGCCCTGAAAATGGGTCACAGTTCCTTGTCACTTTTCCTATATACAATTGCAATGGAAAACCATCTTTTTGTGTTTGTTTTTTCTTCACAAGAAAACTGATTGACGCAAACAGATTATAAAAAAAATGTAACCTTTGAAATAAAGGAATTCTTTATATTTCTTCTAATGACGCCAAATGTTCTGGCCATGTCATCCCAAGATGTGTTTTCGCGCCTGGAACTTCTTTGCCACCCATATGTACGTTTATGTATCTGTAGGTACTAGGTAGATCTCCATAACGTGTCAGTAACAACGATCATCATACAAGAGAGGAGTAGGTTAACTAATAACCACAGAAGAATACCATTGTAACCACATGATGGTCAGAGAACACACGACGACGAAGCCAGTTACACTGGAAGCCAAATTAACTGGATAAAATTACTTTGGTGGGAAGATGAATGGTTTGATGATTTCATAGCAGGCGGATCGAATGAAATAGCCTTGATCTCTGCTGATGGAAGGCTTGCGGCGGCGAATCTGTACTGCTTCTTCCAGTTTTTTAGTGAAATCATGGAGGAGGTTGGATAGCATTTGAATGCTTTCTCAATTGATGTTGTGGTTGGGGTAGTTCCTGATATGGTCCGAGATGGTTGATTTCATGGTCCAAAATGAAGAAGACCCAACCGCTAAACGTCTACACAGACATAAAGTCTTGGCAATGCCTGTATCAACATCATCACTGTGATAGCTGCCTATGCCGGGCTGTTTTAGCTTCAGTTTGGAACTTGTTTGGCAGATTGTTCGAAACATCTCAAGGCGCACTTTGCAAACTTAGTTGCTGATGGTTGGCACGGTTGGTGATGTTGAAATGTTCTCACAGATAAATTGTTGTTGCTTTGACGTTGAGGGCATTGGCAAGTGTCCACTCTGGCCAGCAGGCTGCAGACGTCCGATTGCCTCATCTCCATGTTGTCTATCCATGCTGAGTGAGTGAGTGAGTTTGGTTGAACGCCGCTTTTAACAGTATTACAATTATATCGCGGCCTGTCAGCTTAATGTGGGAGTAAAGCCCGAAGTGATGCAAATGCAGGTCTCAGACGTTTACCTCTTCGGTGAAACCCACGAGTAAGGGTATATGGTGCTGACAAACATAATCGGGGCGAACCGGGATTCAAACACACTGTCATAGGTTTCTGGCGTACCCAAGGGACGCAACTCTGCACAGCGAATCGCGGCGCCTTAAACGACTGTGCCACCCTTGCCCCCTATCCATGACTGGTATACCGACAAGATTGATTGCAGGATTGAAATAGTGATGTCTATAGTATACCCAATAGTCCAAGTTGAACCATTCAGTCAATTATTGTGTGAAGTGATGCTTTCGATTGGGCTGTACCAAGCATCCCGGCGCTATTCATTTCATCCAGAATCACGCTTTCGCTATGTTATGACCTTACTTTATCAACAGCATGATTAACCGAACACCCCAACACACCCGAGAGGTTGTACATGAACCATTTGATTCCTCCGCGTTCGTGAGTATACGTAGGTCATTCTTGAATTTGTCATTTCAGTGAAAGGACGTCAGATCGTCCTTAGCCATTAGTAATGTAACACGTAAACTCTCTACGCTTTTCATGTAGTACTTGTTATCATAGTCGGATTGCGTCGTCTACAACGTGATGAACACCTAAGGCTTATCGGAACGCTTCAAACTGGCACAACTAACGGACATCAGGAGAACTTCAACGTAAGGTAACACGACAGATTTAGAAATAAGTCTCTAAAGATAAGGGGCAAGATCACATTAACGCATACTGACCCCAGTACTTGTTCCGTTTGCGCGCATTGCTGGTCTACGTTTTGCCTCACGATAACGCTCGTGCCTACCGTGCACCTATCGTAATTGACTACCTCCAGCAGAAACACATCACCGGAATGCAATGGTCAGCTATGATTACAGAACCTTTCTCAATAGAACACGTCTTGGACATGATGGGGAGACGTGTACGCCGAACTGGGTCAGCCGCTACAAGAGCAGTGATTCGGACCACTGACCAATCGTGGGGGCATTGCACATTATACATCAAGTCATCTCAAACGTTACTTCTCACCCTTGTCATCTTTCTTGGCTGTTTGCAAGTTAACAATACACCGCCAATATTTTCTGCTGACTGTAATATCACACCAAGTCCATTACCATCGTCCATACATCTTTGTATTCCTGTATTCATCATTTATTTTTAAATATCACCTTCATTTTTGTATATATTGACACAGGCATATTACTAACATTTGCGTTTCTTTGAGGTTCAGAATGTCACTATGATTCGATGTATGGCTGACACAATATCATATTGCATGATTGATGCAGTGCTGTGATTAATGTAACATTGACGCAGTGACATGATTGATGCAGTGCTGTGATTAATGTAACATTGACGCAGCGACATGATTGATGCAGTGCGGTGATTGATGTAGCATTGACGCAGTGACATGATTGATGCAGTGCGATGATTAATGTAACATTGACGCAGTGACATGATTGACGCGTGCTGTGATTAATGTAACTTTGACGCAGTGACATGATTGATGCAGTGCTGTGATTGATGTAACATTGACGCAGTGACATGATTGATGCAGTGCGATGATTAATGTAACATTGACGCAGTGACATGATTGAAGAAGTGCTGTGATTGATGTAACATTGACGCAGTGACATGATTGACGCGTGCGGTGATTAATGTAACATTGACGCAGTGACATGATTGATGCAGTGCTGTGATTGATGTAACATTGACGCAGTGACATGATTGATGCAGTGCGGTGATTGATGTAGCATTGACGCAGTGACATGATTGATGCAGTGCCATGATTAATGTAACATTGACGCAGTGACATGATTGAAGAAGTGCTGTGATTAATGTAACATTGACGCAGTGACATGATTGATGCAGTGCTGTGATTAATGTAACATTGACGCAGTGACATGATTGAAGAAGTGCTGTGATTAATGTAACATTGACGCAGTGACATGATTGAAGAAGTCCTGTGATTAATGTAACATTGACGCAGTGACATGATTAATGCAGTGCTGTGATTAATGTAACATTGACGCAGTGACATGATTGAAGAAGTGCTGTGATTAATGTAACATTGACGCAGTGACATGATTGAAGAAGTGCTGTGATTAATGTAACATTGACGCAGTGACATGATTGATGCAGTGCTGTGATTAATGTAACATTGACGCAGCGACATGATTGATGCAGTGCGGTGATTGATGTAGCATTGACGCAGTGACATGATTGATGCAGTGCGATGATTAATGTAACATTGACGCAGTGACATGATTGACGCGTGCGGTGATTAATGTAACATTGACGCAGTGACATGATTGATGCAGTGCTGTGATTGATGTAACATTGACGCAGTGACATGATTGATGCAGTGCGGTGATTGATGTAGCATTGACGCAGTGACATGATTGATGCAGTGCGATGATTAATGTAACATTGACGCAGTGACATGATTGAAGAAGTGCTGTGATTAATGTAACATTGACGCAGTGACATGATTGATGCAGTGCTGTGATTAATGTAACATTGACGCAGTGACATGATTGAAGAAGTGCTGTGATTAATGTAACATTGACGCAGTGACATGATTGAAGAAGTCCTGTGATTAATGTAACATTGACGCAGTGACATGATTAATGCAGTGCTGTGATTAATGTAACATTGACGCAGTGACATGATTGAAGAAGTGCTGTGATTAATGTAACATTGACGCAGTGACATGATTGAAGAAGTGCTGTGATTAATGTAACATTGACGCAGTGACATGATTGATGCAGTGTGGTGATTAATTTAACATTGACGCAGTGACATGACTGATGCAGTGCTGTGATTAATGTAACATTGACGCAGTGACATGACTGATGCAGTGCGGTGATTAATGTAACATTGACGCAGAGACATGATTGATGCAATGCGGTGATCAGTGTAACATTGACGCAGTGACATGATGATGCGTAATGCTATGCTTTAGTCCTGTGTCAGTGTCAAACGATTGATTCAAGAATTGCTTTTCATTTTTGTGCATGCATCGAAGTATAACAGTTAGAAACTGTATAATATTGCGTAGCGTAGCGGAACCATTTCATACAAAATTAGAAACTGTTATACTTCGAAGCATGCAAAAAATTAGAAAGGCAATTCTTATAAATACAAAATCGACCCTCATCTGATATATCCTGTTTATCAGGTTTGTTGTCGAGTTTGATCATTTCGCTGCACATCGCAACACGCACAAAAATACATGAATAAAACTTTTTTCGCAAAGTCATACAAATACCAAACAAGTGTTTTTTGCAAGGCATAACAGTTTTATTGAACAGATACCCATATACTTTATTGTTTATGTAAATGTTTTTCTTTCAATGACGTTATACCTGAGCGAGAAAAACTTCAAAACTGTTTTGTTTTCGGAAGAGACTATATTAATGACGTCATAAAGTAAGTGTTGGGTTGTTGTTGTTGTTTTTACGCAGTGTTTAGCAATATTCCAGCAATATCCAGAAATGGGCTTCACACATTGTACCCATGTCAGGAATCGAACAATGGTCTTCGGCGTGACGACAGTACGCTTTAACCACTAGGCTACCCGACTGCCCTCGGAAAACACGCATTTATGATGTAAAAATGCAAGAGTTCAGAATCAGAATAGCCTAAATTTGTGTAAGAAATTCATTTTGTGATTATTGATAATTATCTCACTGGTAAGACTTATGTTATATATTTGCTGAAGTGCCAAAATGATGTTTGTAGAAGAACTATACGTGCGCTTCATTAAGCACATACACATTAAGCACGTTGGTAGCTTATATCATCAGTTTTCCACATCGTTAAAAAACTGTTTAATGGCCTATTGTTAGTACACATTATCGTTCTGAGTTCTGATGCTCTGATGTTTGTGTGTGTGTAAAGGTTCATACATTGTAAAGATATAATGAGAAAAACACTCACCGTGTTGCTGCTGATGGTGAAGAGGTGCAAGAAGTCGTTGCTGTCTCGGACGACGACACGGCGTGGTGGGGAACTATCACTGCTAACGCTCATGTTGCTGCTTAACGAGAGGTTCCCATCAACACCGGTCTGTAAGAGCAAATTGATAAAGAAGTGTTAATTATCTACAATGTAATAGTGAGAAGGCTAAAATATATTGAAAGGTGAACCCATAGTCTACATAACACGTGATTAACAAGGTAGTCACTTACTTAGTCCTACATACATCAATACTACATACAGATCAACGAGGAAGTCACTTACTTTGTCCTACAGACATCAATACTACATACAGATCAACAAGGAAGTCACTTACTTTGTCCTACAGACATCAATGCTACATACAGATCAACAAGGAAGTCACTTACTTAGTCCTACATACACCAATACTACATACAGATCAACAAGGTAGTCACTTACTTAGTCCTACATACATCAATACTACATACAGATCAACAAGGAAGTCACTTACTTAGTCCTACATACATCAATACTACATACAAATCAACAAGGAAGTCACTTACTTTGTCCTACAGACATCAATACTACATACAGATCAACAAGGAAGTCACTTACTTAGTCCTACATACATCAATACTACATACAAATCAACAAGGAAGTCACTTACTTTGTCCTACAGACATCAATACTACATACAGATCAACAAGGTAGTCCCTTACTTAGTCCTACATACATCAATACAACTACATACAGATTAACAAGGAAGTCACTTACTTAGTCCTACATACAGCAATACTACTACATACAGATTAACAAGGATGTCACTTACTTAGTCCTACATACATCAACACAACTACATACAGATCAACAAGGTAGTCATTTACTTAGTCCTACATACATCAATACTACTACATACAGATAGACAAGGTAGTCACTTACTTAGTCCTACATACATCAATACTACTACATACAGATCAATAAGGAAGTCATTTACTCAGTCCTATAGACATCAGTACTACATACAGATCAACAAGGTACTCACTTACTAAGTCCTACATACATCAATACTACATACAGATCAACAAGGAAGTCACTTACTTAGTCCTACAGACATCAATACTACATACAGATCAACGAGGAAGTCACTTACTTAGTCCTACATACATCAATACAACTACATACAGATCAACAAGGAAGTCACTTACTTAGTCCTACATACATCAATACAACTACATACAGATCAACAAGGTAGTCACTTACTTAGTCCTACATACATCAATACTACTACATACAGATCAATAAGGAAGTCATTTACTCAGTCCTATAGACATCAGTACTACATACAGATCAACAAGGTACTCACTTACTAAGTCCTACATACATCAATACTACATACAGATCAACAAGGAAGTCACTTACTTAGTCCTACAGACATCAATACTACTACATACAGATCAACAAGGATGTCACTTACTTAGTCCTACATACATCAATACTACATACAGATCAATAAGGAAGTCATTTACTCAGTCCTATAGACATCAGTACTACATACAGATCAACAAGGAAGCCACTTACTTAGTCCTACATACATCAATACTACATACAGATCAACAAGGAAGCCACTTACTTAGTCCTACATACATCAATACTACTACATACAGATCAACAAGGAAGCCACTTACTTAGTCCTACATACATCAATACTACATACAGATCAACAAGGAAGTCACTTACTTAGTCCTACATACATCAATACTACTACATACAGATCAACAAGGAAGCCACTTACTTAGTCCTACATACATCAATGCTACTACATACAGATCAACAAGGAAGTCACCTACTTAGTCCTACATACATCAATACTACTACATACAGATCAACAAGGTAGTCACTTACTTAGTCCTACATACATCAATACTACTACATACAGATCAACAAGGAAGTCACCTACTTAGTCCTACATACATCAATACTACTACATACAGATCAAAAAGGAAGCCACTTACTTAGTCCTACATACATCAATACTACTACATACAGATCAACAAGGAAGTCACCTACTTAGTCCTACATACATCAATACTACTACATACAGATCAACAAGGTAGTCACTTACTTAGTCCTACATACATCAATACTACTACATACAGATCAACGAGGAAGTCACTTACTTTGTCCTACAGACATCAATACTACATACAGATCAACAAGGAAGTCACTTACTTTGTCCTACAGACATCAATACTACATACAGATCAACAAGGAAGTCACTTACTTAGTCCTACATACATCAATACTACATACAGATCAACAAGGTAGTCACTTACTTAGTCCTACATACATCAATACTACATACAGATCAACAAGGAAGTCACTTACTTAGTCCTACATACATCAATACTACATACAAATCAACAAGGAAGTCACTTACTTTGTCCTACAGACATCAATACTACATACAGATCAACAAGGTAGTCCCTTACTTAGTCCTACATACATCAATACAACTACATACAGATTAACAAGGAAGTCACTTACTTAGTCCTACATACAGCAATACTACTACATACAGATTAACAAGGATGTCACTTACTTAGTCCTACATACATCAACACAACTACATACAGATCAACAAGGTAGTCATTTACTTAGTCCTACATACATCAATACTACTACATACAGATCAATAAGGAAGTCATTTACTCAGTCCTATAGACATCAGTACTACATACAGATCAACAAGGTACTCACTTACTAAGTCCTACATACATCAATACTACATACAGATCAACAAGGAAGTCACTTACTTAGTCCTACAGACATCAATACTACATACAGATGAACGAGGAAGTCACTTACTTAGTCCTACATACATCAATACAACTACATACAGATCAACAAGGAAGTCACTTACTTAGTCCTACATACATCAATACAACTACATACAGATCAACAAGGTAGTCACTTACTTAGTCCTACATACATCAATACTACTATATACAGATCAATAAGGAAGTCATTTACTCAGTCCTATAGACATCAGTACTACATACAGATCAACAAGGTACTCACTTACTAAGTCCTACATACATCAATACTACATACAGATCAACAAGGAAGTCACTTACTTAGTCCTACAGACATCAATACTACTACATACAGATCAACAAGGATGTCACTTACTTAGTCCTACATACATCAATACTACATACAGATCAATAAGGAAGTCATTTACTCAGTCCTATAGACATCAGTACTACATACAGATCAACAAGGAAGCCACTTACTTAGTCCTACATACATCAATACTACATACAGATCAACAAGGAAGCCACTTACTTAGTCCTACATACATCAATACTACATACAGATCAACAAGGAAGCCACTTACTTAGTCCTACATACATCAATACTACTACATACAGATCAACAAGGAAGCCACTTACTTAGTCCTACATACATCAATGCTACTACATACAGATCAACAAGGAAGTCACCTACTTAGTCCTACATACATCAATACTACTACATACAGATCAACAAGGTAGTCACTTACTTAGTCCTACATACATCAATACTACTACATACAGATCAACAAGGAAGTCACCTACTTAGTCCTACATACATCAATACTACTACATACAGATCAAAAAGGAAGCCACTTACTTAGTCCTACATACATCAATACTACTACATACAGATCAACAAGGAAGTCACCTACTTAGTCCTACATACATCAATACTACTACATACAGATCAACAAGGTAGTCACTTACTTAGTCCTACATACATCAATACTACTACATACAGATCAACAAGGATGTCACTTACTTAGTCCTACATACATCAATACTACTACATACAGATCAACAAGGAAGTCACTTACTTAGTCCTACAGACATCAATACTACTACATACAGATCAACAAGGAAGTCACTTACTTAGTCCTACAGACAGCAATACTACATACAGGTCAACAAGGAAGCCCTTGCGATATCAGTACAACTACATTATATTACACTATACAGTTAGAAGATCAACAAAGATATCAATTACCGTAAGTTGCACTACACTACACTACACTGCACTGCACTGCACTGCACTGCACTGCACTGCACCCCAACAGACCACACCACACTAAACTTGGAAGATCAACAAAGATGTTACTTACCGTAAGTTGCAGTACTTCTCCAGCGGAAGTAGCAACGTTGACGGTTTCTGCTTCACTCGGAAGCACTGTGGTAATTACAATCGTGATGTTTCGGTAGACTGCATTGAAGTCCGGTTTAAAGCCTTTATAATTAAATAGTGTTTTGTTTTCCGTTATTTGGAATGTTCCTCGACATTGAGGTTGCTGGCACACTATACACTGTCGGTCCTGCAATAACCAAATGTTCAAGATTTACGATGATCACTTCCTAAATATAACTGTTATTGGGTCAGTATTTCTGAGAGCGGCTGTGATGTTTTTATATAATATATACGCGATCGGATATCCGTTGTAAGACACCACAAACACTATCTATCTGAACACATTTGGAAATTATTTGTCAATTTGTCCAAGACATTTTCTTCTCTCTAATACATGAATGTAAGATTGACAATGAGTGATGTTAGGCTAAAATCGGGCCAGATGTGTAGCGTAAGATTGTGTGAAAGGTTGTGTTCGTGTTTACAATAATTTATCAGAATGCTTTGATTGTCCATCAGACCTTAGGCAAGGCTGTGTCATGAGCCCATTTTTATTTTCCATATTAATGAATGGATTGGCACCACCAAGTATACAGTTACATCATGATATCATACAATTGTTTATATTATTATTTGCTGATGATAATGTCCTCATTGCTCACGCAGTATTTTGGTTGCATAACAGTATAAATGTTTTGGAAGCGTTTTATGATAAATATCACAAGTCTGTTAATTTAGATAAAACTTAAATTTTGGTTGATGAGGGGTAGTTATTCATCAAAACTGAGAAATGGTACTATCCAGACAAGCGACTTGAATGTGTTCCCTCATATAAATATTTAGGATTATTATTTGCTTGGTCATTATCATAGTCTGGTCATGTTAAACATGCAGCAATACAAGCTAAGAAAGTTCTATGCGGTGTGCTTAAATCTCTTTATTTCATAAAACTCTTATCCTATGAATTGATCTTTAAAATATTTGGTCCCGTGGAGTTACCGGGTTAGGATGGACCTTCAGCAACTCATGCTTGTCGTTCGAGGCGACGAACGGAATCGAGTGGTCAGGATCGCTGACTTGGTTGATGCTTCGTATCCCAGTTACATAAATTGATGCTGATGATGTCAATTAATCACTGGATTGTCTGGTTCAGACTCGGTTATATACAAATCATATAGCTGGAATATTGCTGAGTGCGGCGTTAAACAACAAACAAACTGACAAAAGAAGTCAATGCTATAGTCAAGATTCCCCACATGTCAGTAACACTGGCCGTGGTTCACTGGTATCATCGCGACTCCCCATATGTCAGTGTTATAGACAAGATTCCCCACATGTCAGTAACACTGGCCGTGGTTCACTGGTATCATCGCAACTCCACATATGTCAGTGTTATAGACAAGATTCCCCACATGTCAGTAACACTGGCCGTGGTTCACTGGTATCATCGCGACTCCCCATATGTCAGTGTTATAGACAAGATTCCCCACATGTCAGTAACACTGGCCGTGGTTCACTGGTATCATCGCAACTCCACATATGTCAGTGTTATAGACAAGATTCCCCACATGTCAGTAACACTGGCCGTGGTTCACTGGTATCATCGCGACATATGTCAGTGTTATAGACAAGATTCCCCACATGTCAGTAACACTGGCCGTGGTTCACTGGTATCATCGCGACTCCCCATATGTCAGTGTTATAGACAAGATTCCCCACATGTCAGTAACACTGGCCGTGGTTCACTGGTATCATCGCGACTCCACATATGTCAGTGTTATAGACAAGATTCCCTTCCTATATGTATATATATATATATATATATACCATATGAAAGTGTTAACATCACGCCTTCAACATGAAAGTGTTAACATCACGCCTCCCACTTGACAGTGTTAACATCACGACCCTCACTTGACAGTGTTAACATCACGCCTCACACAAGACTGTGTTAACATCACGACCCTCACAGGACAGTGTTAACATCACGCCTCCAACATGACAGTGTTAACATAACGACTACCCCATGGCAGTGTCAATATCACGACTCCCCACATGACAGTGTTATCATCACGACTCCCACATGACAATGTTAACATTACTAATCCAACATGGCTGTGATATCATCAGGACTCCCACTGGACAGTGTTAATATTACGACTCCCTTCCCACATTGCGGTGTTATCATCAGGACTCCCACTGGACATTGTTAACATAACGACTCCCCAATGGCAGTGTCAATATCACGACTCCAGCATGACAGTGTTAACATCACGCCTCCCACAGGACTGTGATAACATCACGACTCCCACTTGACAGTGTTAACATTACGACTACCCCATGGCAGTGTCAATATCACGACTCAACCATGACAGTGTTAACATCACGACTCCCCAAATGACAGTGTTATCATCACGACTCCCACATGACAATGTTAACATTACGACTCCCCAATAACAGGGTTAACACCACGACTCCCACAGGACAGTGTTAACATCACGATTCCCCACATGACAGTGTTAACATTATGACTACCCCATGGCAGTGTCAATATCACGACTCAACCATGACAGTGTTAACATCACGACTCCCACATGACAATGTTAACATTACGACTCCCCAATAACAGGGTTAACACCACGACTCCCACAGGATAGTGTTAACATCACGACTCCCCACATGACAGTGTTAACATTACGACTTCCACATGACAGTGTTAACATTCCGACTCCCCGATGGCAGTGTTAACATCATGATTCCCCCATGCCAGTGTCAATATCACTACTCCACCATGACTGTGTTAACATCACGACTCCCACATGAAAGTGTTATCCCCACGACTCCCCACAAGACAGAGTTATCATCACGACTCCCTCATGACAGTGGTATCATCACTACTTCCTCATCACAGTGTTATTCCCACAGCTCCCACATGACTGTTATCATCACGACTCCCCACATGACATTGTTATCCCCACGACTCCCCACATGATAGTGTTATCATCACGACTCGCAAATGACAGTGTTATCATTACGACTACCAACATGGCAGTGTTATTATCACGATTCCAACATTACAGTGTCATCATCACGATTCCCACATGACTGTGTTATCATCACGACTCCCCAATGGCAGTGTTAACATCACGACTCCCACATGACAGTGTTATCATCACGACTTCCCACATGGCAGTGTTATCATCACGACTTCCCACATGGCAGTGTTATCATCACGACTCCCCACATGATATTGTTATCATTACGACTCCCCACAAGACATTGATATCCCCACGACTCCCCACATGACAGTCTTAACATTACGACTCCCTACATGACAGTGTTAACATCACGACTCCCCACATGACAGTGTTATCCCCAGGACTCCCCAAATGAGAGTGTCATCATCACGATTCCCATATGACAATGTTATCATTACGACTCCCCACAAGACAGTGTTATCCCCACGACTCCCCACATGACAGTGTTATCATCACGACTCGCACATGACAGTGTTATCATTACGACAACCCACATGATAGTGTTATCATCACGACTCCCCACATGACAGTGTTATCATCACGACTCGCACATGACAGTGTTATCATTACGACAACCCACATGGCAGTGTTATTATCACGATTCCAACATGACAGTGTCATCATCACGATTCCCACATGACTGTGTTTCTCATCACGACTCCCCAATGGCAGTGTTAACATCACGACTCCCACATGACAGTGTTATCATCAGGACTTCCCACATGGCAGTGTTATCATCACGACTCCCCACATGGCAGTGTTATCATCACGACTTCCCACATGGCAGTGTTAACATCACGACTCGCACATGACAGTGTTTTCATTACGACTCTCTACATGACAGTGTTATTATCACGATTCCAAAAAGACAGTGTTTTCATTACGACTCCCCACATGACAGTGTTAACATCACGACTCCCATATGAAAGTGTTATCCCCAAGACTCCCCACATGACAGTGTTATCATTACGACTCCCCACATGACAGTGTTATCATCACGACTCCCCACATGACATTGTTAACATTACGACTTCCATATGACAGTGTTAACATCACGACTCCACACATGACAGTGTTATTATCGCGATTCAAACATGACAGTGTTTTCATCACAACTCCCAACTTGACAGTGTTAACATCACGACTCCCCACATGACAATGTTATCATTACGACTCCCCACAAGACAGTGTTATCCCCACGACTCCCCACATGACAGTGTCATCATCACGATTTCCCACATGACAGTGTTATCATCACGACTCCCCACATGACAGTGTTATCCCCACGACTCCCCATATGACAGTGTTAACATCACGACTCCACAAATGACAGTGTTATTATCAAGATTCAAAGATGACAGTGTTTTCATCACAACTCCCAACTTGACAGTGTTACCATCAGGACTCCCCACATGACAATGTTATCATTACGACTCCCCACAAGACAGTGTTATCCCCACGACTCCCTACATGACAGTGTTAACATCACGGCTCCCCACATGACTGTGTTATCCCCACGACTCCCCATATGACAGTGTCATCATCACGATTTCCCACATGACAGTGTTATCATCACGACTCCCCACATAACAGTGTTATCCTCACGACTCTTCACATGACAGTGTTATCATCACGACTCCAACATGACAGTGTTATCATTACGACTCCCTACATGACAGTGTTATTATCACGATTCCAAAATGACAGTGTTTTCATTTCGACTCCCCACATGACAGTGTTAACATCACTACTCCCCACATGACAGTGTTATCATTACGACTCCCCATATGACAGTGCCATCATCACGATTCCCACATGACTGTGTTATCATCATGACTCCCACATGACAGTGTTATCCTCACGACTCTTCATATGACAGTGTTATCATCACTACTCACTCATGACAGTGTTATCATCACGACTCGCACATGACAGTGTTGTCATCACGACTCCCAGATGACAGTGTTTACATCACGAATCCCAAGTGACAGTGTTATCATCACGACTTCCCATATGACAGTGTTATCATCACGAATCGCACATGACAGTGTTATCCTCACGACTCTTCACATGACAGTGTTATCATCACGACTCCAACATGACAGTGTTATCATCACGACACCCCACATGACAGTGTTATTATCACGAT